CTAGCCTGGGTGACAGAGCGAGACTCCATCTCAAAAAAATAAAATAAAATAAATAAAATAAAAAGGAACCTGGCTGATTACATACTAGTTTCTCCTGAGTAGACGATTTGGGGTATTTCTTCTGGTTTTCCTTCTCTACATCTGTTGCTTTTCAATTTTTTTCTGTAGTGAGGCTTTAATAAAATAAAAGAAATTTCAAATTATAATGAAAAACACAAAGGCTAACCTTAGGATTATAGAACTGAGTGACCAGGCTGGGTGCATTGGCTCATGCCTGTAATCCCATTACTTTGGGAGGCCGAGGCGGGTGGATCACGAGATCAGGAGTTCAAGACCAGCCTGGCCATCATGGTGAAACCCTGTCTCTGCTAAAAATACAAAAATGAGCCGGGTGTGGTGGTGTGCACCTGTAGTCCCAGCTACTCGGGAGGCTGAGGCAGGACACTCGCTTGAACCCAGGAGGCAGAGGTTGCAGTGAGCCAAGATCACACCATGGCACTCAGCCTGGGCAACAGAGTGAGACTCCATCTCAAAAAAGAAAAAAAGATATTCTACATTTGTGAGGTTTCTGTGAGCAAAATGCATCTCCCTTTCCCAATTGGTGGATGGTGTCAGGCAGCCAGTGAGCCCGAGGGTATCCAAGCCATGCAGGGGCAGAGGTGAAGCTCAAGACATGAGTCGTTAGCAAGGTGGCACCTGGCAGCTGCACCTGGGCTGAGACCAGAGAGGAAAGTGCATTCCCAGTGTGTGGCCTCTGGGGACAAGCCCTGGCCTAGTGCTAAACTCTTTCTGCCTCCTCAATCAAATTGATATTTAATATTACATGCACACACACACACACACTCTGATGTGATATTTAATATTACACACGTACACACACACAATCTCGGTGGGTTTTTTGGTATTGCCTCTCATTACCTTACATATCAGGGAGCTACTATCAGTAAAATATGTTAATGCCCTATGTAACTGATGTGAGTTTTACATTTCTAAGTACCAATTACCAAAAACGTTTCCCACAAATAATGAGTTGGTTTTCCCCTAGCATG